GGATGGATGGATGGATGGATGGATGGATGGATGGATGGATGGATGAGTAAGATAAATAATGATAAAACTTTTAGGGGCAAAAACCTTTTCCAGAGAGAATCAATTAAGCATAACCAGTGAAATGTTGTTTCCTGTAACAGAATGTCTGGTCGTAATGTTCTAACAGCAGGTTTAACCGAGGAACAAAAACTATTTGGCGTCCAAAGCTTCATAATGAGCTGCTCTGTTCGTGGGTGTGGAGTTACCCGCGGACCGTGGGAACCCCGGGCTCCGAGCGGAGCGCTCAGATCACACGGAGATGTGAACAAAACCAGGCAGTGGAGGAAGGAGGCGGAGGGAGGCTGATTGAGAGCAGAGTGAACCCTTCATTGTCTGACCCACAAAAACATCTGCTGTGAGCAGAGAGCGCGCGCCGGTCCAAATAAACCCAGAGAAAATTACTGGTTGATCCACATCTAGGAGGAGCGCGTTTTTTCCTTTGCCACGCGCTGAACACACGCGCGCACACGCCTTCCGAAGAAAATAACTGCGCCCAGACTGCTTTTCTTCCATTGGAGGATATTTTTTAAAGCACCAGTTTTATCAAGATACTGTGTTGTTATTTATAAGTAAATATTAATAATGACATATTTTAAAAAGTCATCATCGCTGGAAATTAACTAATTCATAGAGATGGCAGGTCTGTTGGGCTCTCTGAATATTCATCCCCACCGCAGCAAAGAACAGACAGACTTCCTCTCATATTTAATCTTTCACTCTGATAAACCGCAGCTCGCTCTTATCGGGTCCTCCATCTAACGAAACATTAGAGCACAGAGAGATCGTGATTCCTTCCATTAGTTTTTTTCTATAATTAGGTCTATCTATATTTATTTTCAAATGTTCTGAACATTTTTATAATTTTGTTTAAACTTACCCCGCAAAGGAGGTCCATCTCGCTGTGTGTGTCCTCTCCCCGGCAGCTCGGTGATGAGACCGGGCGGGTTCAGCAGCAGCTGCTGCAGCAGCGGGGTCTGCACAGAAGGAAACCGCAACTCTCGCGAGATTAGAATCCCATAAGGTGGTTCGCCTCGGCCTACTGCCCTTACTATAGAAATATTTAGTGACCAAAATTCCATTTAGAAAATATATATATATTTATACTGTACCTGAAACTTAAGTTTTCTTAAATAAAGTTGCAGAAAGACTCGATATTTGCACATTTCCTTAATAAATATACACCAATAAATTTAGAATAACAGCATGTACCTATGTATAACTTTGGTCATGAAATGGTTAAAATACTTCCTGATTAACAGCGACCTATGAGTCCATATATGGGTCTGATGCAGGGATTGTTTGTGTTATGTTTCCTAAATTAGAAACGCAGAGAGTATTTTTATACTCTTAATAGCATATCAGTACTTTACTAGACCTAAAATTCAGGGGCGGAGCTAGATGGAGGGCCAGGGGTGGCCATGGCCACCCTCAGCCAATCATTGGCCACCTCTGTGGCCACCACTACCATTTATTTCCCTCTAATACAGATAGTGGAAGCAGTAATACTCTCAAGTGGTATAATCAAAACATTTATTTTTTGTGGTTAATTATACACATCAATAAACTAGCATCAAAGATGATAAGTAGAGAATTCATGCTCTTTTCAGAACTAGATTTTGTGTTATATGGGGTAAAGAGAAAATGTGTGTCTGAATTATGTGTCTCTGCAAGTCATCTAGGGCTACGTTCACACTGCAGCCTGAAGTGACCCAAATCTGATTTTTTGGCCCATATGCGACCTGTATCTGATCTTTTCATGGCTGTCTAAACAACACAGATCCGATTTTTTTCCAATGTGACCCAGGCCACTTGGCTATGTGGTCCTGAATCCTGATCTTTTCCAATGCGACCTGAGTCTGAACGTCCAGGTCGCATTTATCCGACCTGAATGCCATTAATACCCGACAGTGTTCACCATTCTGGGTCTTGCTACGTAATAGCAGCAAGAAAAACAACAACCATGGCAGATGATGATGCGCAGAGCAGCGTTTATATCTAACCGTATTGAAAAGATTGCTAGATGCGAGCCGGCACCACCATCCATGTTTACTTCCATAAACATAGAGCATGCTGGCCTGTGATGTCATTGCGTCCTCTACTGCGCTACTTGCATTCTATGACTGCAGTTCACACAGGAGATCACATACAAGTCTCATATATTTGGAAAGATGAACGGCAATGCAAAAAAATCGGATTTCACAAAATAATCGGAATTGAGCATCAAGGCCTGCAGTGTGAACATAGCCTAGGAGTCTTCAGTGAAATCAAAGATAAATAACAATTTTAATAAAAACTTAACAAATAATCAATTTATGTAGATATTAGTGCTTGTAAAATATACATTTTATGCATAATGTTTATTGATACAAATAGGTAAGTAATGACAATGATAATTGATTTATGCCCCAGAACTTAAAACTGAGTTTTCTCCACTACACCTTTTATCTAGAAATTCCGGATGTTTAAATATATGCGTCTATTTGTTAGGAAAGGCTGTAGGAAAGGATAGTTTGTCTTTATTTAGAAAATATGGATGTTTTGCTTGTTCATTTTCCTGTTGGAACAGTGTAGATTGACCCTGAGGTTCTGGAGCCTATCCACTTTCGGTCACCTCTTAGTGTAAATTGCTTATTGCCTGGCCACCCTTTTTTTTTTTTTTACTTCAATCGCAGCATAAGTCTAATGGCCATGATTCAGAGGATTTCAGGTAACATTAGGTGTATCAGGTGGAAAATGGTAAAAAGCACAGACCAGAGAGAAATGAAAGTGGTTACTCTGTAGGGGCTTGATGATGGACAAGTAAAACATGCTGCTTCAAACAATGGTGAAAATATAAAATCAGAAAGGACTAAGAAACTGGACAGAAAGCAAATTACAGTCCACTTATTTTAAGTAGTTTTACCAGATATATAAAATGCAACTGAGTATGATGACTATAGAAATGTCCATCTTGTGCATGTATATCCATACCCCCACCCCCCTGCTTACATGAAATTGAGTAAATAACAGCAGGAATGTTAACACTTATTGAGATTGTTTGGTTTTAAAGGCTAACAGCTGCTTGGAGGAAGGATCTGAAATGACACTGGAGCTGTGCAACTGCTTCTTGCATGGGGTGGTGGGAGACTTATGTCCAACAGTGGTGATATTTTTACCAGAGTTCAGTCTTTCACCACAGGGGCATCCTAGAACAGAGCAGGAATTCCTGATGAGCTCATGTCATCGCTTCCTCTCAGCTGGAGGTAGATAAAAGGCTGCTATAACAAACTACACCACATTAATGATGTCATCATAGAGGGATTTTGCTAAATGTATAAGCACTGTTTGCAGTTTAATCGAAGAAAGAATAAACAATAAAGATGATTAGGGTCACATTGGACAAAAACACTCATTTACAGTGGAAGACAATTACTGATGTATAGCAAGCTGAACCCTCCTTTTCCTCTCCGAGTTTTAGTAGTGGCAGGATTACACTGTGTATTTCCTAGGGATTGATTTCAGTAGATGGGGGAAATAAACACAGGTCAGACAGGGATAAAACAGGCTAAAGACAATAATTTAGATATTCAGTGAATCTGATGAGGTGTCACCAAAAAAGATTTAGAGTTTAATACTCGGTTTTAGTTTAATAACTTGATCAAAGATCATCAGTGCGTCTCTGCTGCTTTGCAGCAACATCCTGGGTGTGAATGATGTGTGGAGGATACTAGGTCTTTCTGTTGGTGCTTAACTTGTGCATCCAACAACAGCAAACACTGAATGCTTTAGTGTCCATCTTTATATCAGACTGATCATGGAAAAAAAAAATAAATACAGCATTTTAAACCTCCGGGGGGAAAAATAGCCCTAATACAATTTGGCCAATCAAAAAAACAGAGATGGTTAGACTACCCAAAATTGTACCTGGCCAAGATTGTGACAACTTAATCCTTTTCTTTATTTTTCTTAAGTAGAAAATCATCATCCAAGAATTTACTCAGTAAAAAACTATTTGGTAAAACAGCTGCTTCACTATCGAGTAATAGTTCAGTTGCTGTAAAGACATCTAAATTGTCCTTTCAGCATAGATTCAGCAGTGGTACGGAGATAGAGCAGCCCGACTCATACGTAAATCTGTCTGACCCAGATTTAAGTCTCAACCTAGAGACAGTCGCTCTATGTCCCCGCCCCTTTTCATTTGTTCTGTTTAAAGGATACTAGTGCAACAAAATGAAAAAATCAAACACCAATGAGTTTTAATGTAGAGCGGTTGCTATAAGAGCAAAGCATGTTCAATGCTGACAAAAATGGGGATATAGAGGGATGAGAACTGTTGGTTCCTACACATTTGAAGTCATGATAGACCCACACTTCAATACAAATGTTTTTATATCTTTTCCTAGACTCATGCAGACTTGGAAAATACCCACATTCCAACTGTTAAAACATTTTCCAAGTCTTTACATGAGTTCTGCTTTCTGGATGTTTATAATTTCATTTGGAATGTCTGAAAATAATTTGTCTGCTAGGGTTCAAAGTTATGCATTTCTCTGGAGTTTTGGGAATAAAAGAAAAAGAACAGTCCAAAAACAGAATTCTTTTCTATAACCATGTCTTCATGTGAATGTTATCAGAGGAACACTTTATTCCAGAGTTCATGTTTTTAAATAAACTTTTAGCTAGATTATATTGGCATTTAAAGCAAAACATGAAAAGAGCCCTCCCTCTAATAAAGAAGCAGTAAGACAGAGCCAGGTGGTACTGTAGTTTAAATGTTTATTTAATGTTATTCCCACTGCGCACCCCCTCCCTGTGTGAAAGCATAATCTGAAAGGAGGAGGAAACAGGCCACTATAACGCCACATCAGCACGTTTATTGACAAGGCTACGTGTTCAGTCTCTAAACCTTCTCTATGCATTGGAATGGCACTCTGTGTCGCCTCCAAGCAACACACAAGCATGACGAGGCTTGTTAGACAACCCCAACAGCAAGAAGGTCCAATAAGCTGAGGTTCACAGTTGGTTGAGTCCTGAAAAATGATGATTACTAAATATCAAGTTCCACAGAGAAGATTGGGAAAAAGATTTTGAGGGAGAAAGAGATGCAGCTTTTATGTTCTCTTTCCCCTCAAAGTGGCTGCTGATCCACAAGGCCTGTTGCTATGATATCGCTGAAGGTGAAAATCGAAGCTAAAGAGCTTGAGATTCCCAGTGAGCCGTCGTCCTTCTCCAGTCAGATGCTCCGTTCCTCTCTGCTCGCTCTTCCACACAAAAACGGATTGGCTGCAAAACAACACAGAGGGAGGTATTAGACACAGGGTTCATAGGTCTACGTATAACCTAAGCCTAATAGCTCAATATAAACTCAGGTTAGGAGTTTTTCAGCCTACAATTGACAGTGTTGGATTATATGACGTGATTATTTCACATTATGCTGTTTTAGGGACATATGTGCAAGACCAACGACAAAAATAGCTTTGCTCTGTAAAAGCCAAAAACATTCTTAAGATACATTTACATGGAAAAGCTTCACGTTTGTCATCTAGTTTTTTAAAGAACTGCTGAATTTATTTAAATTGTGTTTCTACTTTCAATAATGGAAATAATAATTTTAGAAATCAAAACATTTTTACTATATTACCTTAACCATTATAAACATCACACTTCAGTTTGATTGGCATTTTCTTTACCATTTATTCAAGTTGCTTTCCATTCAACAAATAAATCTACAAATGATAACGTGTATTACACTGCATGTTTTGTGAATATATTTGATATAAACAGAGGTTCAAATTCATATATTTGTCCTACACAATATCAAAAATAATATTTCATTTAAATCTTAATGTTTTCTATACTCATACTATATAAGAATTAAAAAAGGAAATTCTTTACCTTTCTGGACTTTAGGACTAACTAACAAACCTGTGATGGTTTCTAACATCACAGCAGAGAAATGCATTTCCAGCAAAGCGTTTGCCTTATGTTTATTAAAT